AATATTTCACGAATCACTTTAACTTTCTCTTCAATGCTTAAAACTTTCCTTTTCATTGCCATGTTTCTGCTACTGCACTTCTCTGGGTTTAGGCAGGAACACTATAGGGTAAGTAGACAATGTGAGGTCCTGCTAGACGAGATTCTAGGAAAGGAATGCAGTTAACAACCTGCCGCGTCCTCATGCACTATTCACGCAGTCCCACCCCACACCCTTGTTTTCGCATAAAACCCACGCTCCTCTTGCAGCCCACGGTCGTATTCTTCCAAGACAGTCACGTCAGCAAGTAGAGAAAGTGAGGGTGGGCAGACACATCGAACTTTCCCACGATATCAGAGAAATTCAGGAATGAAAATGACGTTACATACGAGGTTGATGCATTTGTGCATGTCATACTAAGCAAGTTATAAAAACAGTTACTTTATGAGGAATTAGTTCGTACCATTGAATATTTGACGCAATAGACAAGGTGTCGCAGAAACCGATGTTGCTATAACCAAGTTTTACTGTATTTTAACGTATTAGTACAAGCGGCTGTAGTTGTTAAAAACATTAGATTTTGTGTTCATTGTATTATAACATGGAATGTATATATTAATATTCACAAAACATATTGTAATAGGGGTTTCTAATTGTATTGATATCCTTCTGAAAGGATAAGACTGATAGACTATAAGACTGAAACATGTCAAGGATAAAAGATTAAAAAGGACAAAAAACTCAGTCACATGGACAGAATTAAGTAACCTTTTATAATACTGTTAGTGTGATGGACCAGGATGAACCAAATCAAAATTAATGTATTATTTTGTTAGAAATGTCACCTTAAATTAAACTGTACTGCTCATGTAGAACAGAGGTTTAAACGATAATCGCTAAATTTAGTTTAGATACACAAATTACTTACAGTTAATTTTAAACTTCATCAATTGCGAAACTGATATATTACTTATAATAATCACTCTCATTCATAGATCTATAGCTTCAAACCTGTGCCAGAAGAATGAAATCGTACATTCTGAAATTTCATTAACTCATTGTCAGTACACTATTCCACTAAGACTATTTATCACATAAGATTATGTTAAAAATTCAACATTTTTCCTGATAGGTGACCTTGCATACTTAGGTGCCATATGAACATGACAATACAGCTTCAACAAAATCTAAAAAACTCAGATATTAACACCAAATTTAAATTTCTGTCATTAAGTTCTCACGTCATACCAATTCAAAGATACAGTATCATATCCCCTATGAAGGACAACTATACAGAATGACCATATTAACATACTATTAGCCAGTTTTAGCTGAGTCAGCTTCATGCAGGTTGAACTGTCCTCTACAGAACAGTGTCCATGTTTATCCTTCTGGATTTCTTCTCCAAGGAACTTCTGTGCAAGCAATACTAGTTTTGTCTTCCGAAAACGATCACCAGTTATATTGTAGATGACACTTGTGTCAATCACATATGGATGCATCATCTAGGAAATGAAATACAAACAGTTCACATGGCGGAAGAAACATAAGAGTTCAATTTGTTACAAAAATATTTATATTCTTTCATCTTCTATCTTTTGGTGAGGGGGAAGTTTTACTTTCCTGCCTAGCTTACAAATACAGACACATATGAAATTACTTACTTAGATACACAGCAATCTTCAGAGTAACAGAACTTACATGGCCAAGTTATATACAATATAGGACCATGCCACAGCTCACGCAATTAGTCACTGACTTCCCACTGTGGTGGCCTGGGTTCGATCCCATGTCTGGTCAAGTGGGATCTGCGGTGGACAAAGTGGTGCTGGGGCAGGTTTTCTCTGAGTACTTCAGTTTCCCCTGCTAATCTTCAATCCATCAATTGCTCCACAATCACCCTCACCTATCATCCAGGGCTGGTACAATAGGCCAGAAGTGACCGCAGTACAAGGGACTTAGTCCCACCCCACTAGCAATAAAAAATATATATAATATATAGTTATGAAGAAATTATTTTATTTTACTCTTTCACTGGTACATTTTTACATGCTACACCAGCTGCCACTCCTTGGTTTTCCTACATTATTAATGGTTTTTGTTGGAAATATGGATAGCACAAAATTTTTACAATTGCAGAATCTTCTATGATGTTTCCATAGGTAGAACTGCATATTGCTCAACCTAGTAGTATCAACCTAACACTAAAACTGGTCGATATGGAAGCCCAAGCATCAACACTATTATCACACTGCTTAGTAATACAGACATTTTCAGTGCAACATAACTACAGTAGCATGTAGCAATGAAAAGTTAACAAACAGAACCATACAATCTTGCACGCCGCTGCAATTTTAAGATGTGGGTACCTGCTGGTAATTTCCAGGCAAAGCAAGCATATGTCATTACTGATCTGATCAGTGGCTTATTGAGGGTTAGTTTAATGTTGGCGTTTAAACATTCTGTTTCTGCCTTGTCCACATGGTCGCCTTACACAGACCTGCCATGGACCGCACAGAAAACAGTGTCTCCATGGCTTCCCTGTTACAGTGTGTCTATTCTCCAACAATTCCCCTACTGATGCATGCTTATCTGTTGCCACAGGGAAGTGTTTACAGAGCTGTTATGTAGAAACGGGCATCTTCTTTGGTTCTGCTGTTCTGGTTTTCAGCAGACATGTCAAAAATATGTACAATATTTCACTTTTCACTACAACATTTGCTCAAAATATTTCTAGTTCTAATAAATACTTAGTGAATTATGTTTGGGAGGTGTGCTGGAACACATGTAGGGCTTCATGTAAAGTGGTTATTAAACCTGTGTGATCTAAACAAAAACTGATATGGCTTGTAAATTCTTCATAAAATTCTCACATATAGAATTTTGTGAAAACTGCCTAGAGCTTCACAAGTTTTCTCAAGTGTACAGACAGACAGACAGACAGACAGACTCAGCAAACTCAATAGGCAATCCACAGATTGGCAAACACTCCAAAACTGCATAAATAAAACACAAACTGGATAGTCTGTGCATGGATAATCAGAAATGTACAACACTTTTCTCAAAACATACACAACTGATATCTGTATGAAAGTAATAAAAGAGCTTACCTTGAGAGCTACCAAGTCAAAGTTGAGGGACTGGCCAACCAGAATTGCATCTGGAGGCAATAATGCTCTAATGTCTTTCTGCACATCTTCTAGCCTGACTTCAACATTAGCAAGTAGCTCCTTTGTAATTCCAGAAAACCGTGTAAGATAGTCTGTGATACGATTATAAGGCTTCACAAGAGTCTCGTACACAACCTGTCCCATTAGAATCATGCCAAATAATTGTACCATAAACCATCAGTAATAAAGAGGCCACAGTTTTTCTCATTCCACACACACACACCCTACATAAATGCGAAGAATAGAAAGTAAACATCACAGCTACTGACAAATTTAGTAAGGCTACATGTACAGGTAGGTAACCTGAGACAACAACTGCAATATTGTAAGATTTGAGGCTTTCACGGTGGTGACTATTAAGAAAGCAGTCTTCTGGGATTTGGCACCGTGTATATGTGGTGTTAACTGACATTTCGGAGGAATGTCAGTTAACACCACATACACACGGTGCCAAATCCCAGAAGACTGCTTTCTTAACTGCAATATTATTTGCTGCGCTACTGTGTTCGTAACTTACAATTAAATAATTAAACATTCGTGTCTTTTAAAGGCGTTTGATACACTTGCGATATGAGTGAACATTTGGGAAAGGGTACACAAAATACAACACAGACAATGACAGCCACATATGAAAATTTGTAGTCTTCCTAGAGGAACAGAATGAATGAGCTGTGAACTTTACACAGACCATTATTTTTTTCATCTCCAGATCTTTTTGAAGTGCTGCTGACTGTTACGGAACTGTCACAGCCAAATCTTACGAGGATTTGCTGGGGGCTCATGGGGTCAGCCAAGAGGAAACAAAAACAACCATCAAATTTTAATGCATGAATTGCAAAGTCAATCCATGTTTTTATGCTGCTGTGTGAACTGGGCACGTGCATAGGGGGACACACGCTAGTCCACATGCACTTCACATTCACCAAACCCTCTCTTTTTGGCACTTTGAGAAAAACAAAGGGCAAAAACATGGCACCATTCTACAAATATTATGTGAATAAAACAGTGGCTGCAGGACTCCAGAAAGGATAGTCTGTGTGAGTCTTAGTAGGGAGTAGACAGTTATCACAGATGTGTGTCGAAGCTGATGTGGAACAGTGAATGCAGTAACTCTCAATTTACTTCAGTACATCACAAAAGAAGAGGATCACACAGCGATGTTGCAGACAAGATAGAATTGACATCATGTTCACAAATGCTACTGATGGTGAGGCAGTAACTGTTCCAAAACATGCTAAATACTACAATATTTATCTTACAAATGTAACCTTCTAAATCACAGTTCTGCCACAACATTTCCAGAAATATAAGTGCTGCACATTTGCATTTATACATGCAACATTTTGTTTTATTTTAGGAATCAACTTTTTCAGAAAAACAACCCTTTTTAGTGAAATTACAATACTATGGAATTTGAAAATGTATTTCTTTCAAATACATTACAATATTTTAGCATAAATACTTCTAAAGGTATACTCGTACACAGTACTTTTAATGCCAGTCTACTAATAAAACCTCTAGTCTCCATTGCCACATACTGGGATTTCAATCTCAGAGAATGAAGATTAACAACATATTAATCAAATGAGGAGTAGCAGATTTTGCAGGACAGAAAACATAACATGAGTTATTAAATAATGCACTGAAAGATCTCATTTAAAAAGGAAACTGCTCATTTTCCAACGTGTCTGAGATGATGAATATGAGAAAATTTTGAAAATCTGTGGTGTGGTATCTGTAAAAAGATTGGCACTTACCTCCAACTGTTCATTAACAATAGACACTCTAGTGACCTCCAATTCTCCTGAAGTGGTACGACACATTTCACAGTCCAAACCAAACATTGGAGAACTGTGAGTTACCTCATGGTATAAGTCTTTTGTAAGTACAAAATCTGTGTACCTGTCAACATAAAATATCATAAATCATATTTAATTTTACAATGGGAATGAATTCCTGAATCGCGCTACACAATGAAACAACTCAGGGCCAGTACAGAATATAAAAAAGTGGACTGATGAGGGTATAAAATAATCATGCATCACTGATTATTTACTCTAGCATGGAAACAGATTTTGGCAAAGAGAAATATACCAAAAGCTGTAATAGAAACAAAAGAAGTGTAGTTCAATGAAGACTGGGAGTCTCAAAACTGAGCACATAAGATTGAAACAGTTTTTGTGACCCCAAGCCAACTAAAGAGATTATCATGCTGAGTACATTATTTTAGGCTGTAGTAAAGCTGGAGGTAGAGACTTAACATAAAATATGAGAAATAAATGACTAATGGTTTTATATGAATAGTATGTTAGTGACTTTAAGCCGTGGGTCCCGTGTCATAGCTTTATGGCATGTAAAAGAACCTCATACCTCCAAAGGAGGTCACTGAGCAAAATTGCGGACATTTGCCATCCGACAGCAGTCACTAATTCCTCCGGTAGAGGGGGGAAGCATTATAGATACCTCTCTGCCAGCAGAGCAGGTCTCGCTGGCTGGGCGGGACTGATGGTAAGCACCAATACCAGCAGGATATAGAGGCTGGTAGAAATCATAGAGGGAAGCACAATGGACCACTACAGGTCTAAGTGCATGGGGAAACCCACCCTCTCTAATAACTAACTAACTACTATATATTGAATTATATGAGTCTATCTGTATAATAGTTTTATTGTATTTACAATAATACTTATTGTCTTTTATATCATTTATTTTATTGCTTTATAATTTTGACACGTTCTAATTATTTACTTGAGCTCAACTTATACCTGAACTGTACTTATGATTGTATTGTACTTTTATGTTCTTCTGCTTATCTTGACATATTTTAATTAATATTTGACATGTTCTATATCCTATGGTTTGTAACCAGTTTTATTGGATCATCTGGAACTCAAAATAAATTACAATTACAATTGCCAAGAAATTATTTCTGAGGTAATTATTACATGCAGCAATAGATTTCTCCTCAGAAAATGTATGAAAGTAATTACTTAAATTAGGACAAAAAAAGGAGATACATGTTCATAAAATGGGAATGGCTCTAACAGGAAAGACTATGGAGAGCAGAGGGCACAGATTTACAGAAAGACAAACGTATCAAAGTGTTTTGTAAAAATGTATATATTGCCACAATTTGGTATCTAGACATGAGATTTGGATTGCCTTCTGGATCTTCTGGACTCTTATAACTTGTAACTACAATTAAATATAACACTACTGCTAATCCATACACTTAACAAATCACTATAACAAACAATAAGTCTTGGTCTGTTTTTGTCTTCCATAGGCATTGTGTGGTAACAGATCTCAACACTGAATACTCCTCTGCTTCCATGTTCACGTCCTTGTTGGGTGACGACTGTCTCACAACTTATGATGGAAACTATTCCAGTTGCCTCGATGGCTCTGGCTATAGCCTTGGCACAGATTGCATACAAACACCGCTTCCAACAGCTTTTCTTCTGTTGTCACAGGTCACTGCCTGGTGTTGGCTCACTTGTTGACTGAGCCGTTACCATGCAAGGGACAATGTTTAAGTAATCATGTCACAATATAGTGGCGTATTTGCTCCATGCAAGAAAGGTTCAGACACGCAGCCATTTCTTAGTAATACACATATGCAACAATGAAACAACTGGGTTATGCAAACCGTTTCTAGGCAATGCCTTGGTAAACACACAATTTGAGTCTATCAGTTATTTATTAAAAGTATAAAACTTTTGTGAAGAGCCAGGATAGCGTAGTCATTATAGCGATTGGCTATGGGCTGGATGACCAAGGGGTCAGAGTTCGAGTCCCAGTAGGGTCAAGGATTTTCACTTCTCTATGTCATCCAGACCAGCCCTGGGGTCCACCCAACCTCCTATCCAATGGGTACCAGGGGCTCTTTCCTTGGGGGGGTAAAGCAGCAGGGGCATGAAGGTGACCACTCACCTCCAACTAGTGTTGAGGTCAAGAAAATGTGGACATATACATCCACTCCCACATATGCCTTCATGGCACAGTGCTTAATTAGTTAACCACAGGGACAACTTTAATTTTTATAAAAATGCTGTGAGTGACTGACATATTTATATACTTTTGCATTCATTTCCCTAAAACCTTTAGAAAGCAAGAGGAAGAGGAAGAACAAACTGTATACAGTGCACACACTTGTACTTCAGAATTAGTAAGTGACCCAAGTAACTTTAAAATTATAATGCAATGATCTCTGACATGTTAGTGATACCAACCACAGAAACAAACTTGTAAAAATAAAACTGAAAGTCTAATGCTAGATGATTGTAGATATTTATTTCTAAAATTCAAACAAATGCCTAACTTTGTGGACTTCTTGCTGTAGGGAAGTTCTAAAGACATGCATTGGGTCTTGTTTTTCTAAATAAACCTCTATTGCTGGCAGCACTGATGTAGTGGAAAACATGGCGACAGCTTTTAAACCTACTTGTGTCACCTACTAATACATAAATATCTGTGTCCACAAGAGCAGTAATGAGTATGTACAGTGGAATACCCATTTCACATTCCTTGATTTAATTATTTTCCTTCATTTTATGTTAAATTTCAGTCATCTGAAGTCAATAATATCAGTGTTATACTTCTTCCACATAAGATTTTCCTTGTTTCAGTGTTCCAATCCACTGCTCCCCAAAGAAAACCTGAATGGAGTTTCACTGTAGTGGGTAAGTATGTCTACAAGAAATTAAAACCTGCTTTATTTATTCACTTACCATTATAAGCAATGATAGTTAGTTAGTTAGTTATTAGAGAGGGTGGTTTTCCCCATGCACTTAGACCTGTACTGGTTCATTGTGCTTCCCTCTATGATTTCTACAAGTCTCTATATCCTACCGGTATTGGTGCTTACCATCAGTCCTGCCCAGCCAGCAAGACCGGCTCTACTGGCTGAGAACTAGCTATAATGCTTGCCCCATCTACCGGAGGTATTAGTGACTGCTGTTGGGCGGGAAACGTCCGCAATTTTGGCTCAGTGACCTCCTTTGGATGTGTGAGGTTCTTTTATGTGCCGTAAAGCTACGACACGGGACCCACGGCTTAAAGTCCCTCCCGGAGGACTTGTTCCCTGAATTTTTCCGCCCTTAAAAATTCAACGACCTCCGCCGGGTATTTGAACCCGCGTACTACGAGTCATGAGGTGGGAATGTTACCTCTAGACTACGGAGGCTGCTTATAAGCAATGATACTTACATTATCATAACACAAAACTTTATAGGTGTGAAGTTCTACAAACACTAACAGATTGACTGACCAACTAACAAACTCACTCACTCAGTGACTGGCTGAATGGCTGACTAGCTAGTCAGATAACGAACTAACTAGCTCTTTCTTCTTTCCTTGGAAACAACTGTACCGGCCCCATATTATGTCCCTGCAGACTTCATGTGACATTGTGACAATAGTGTTTCCACAACTTACAAATACTGTCTTGACAACTTGTGCTGACTGCATGAGGCCTGATTTATATACTCTATTGGACCTAAGATGTATAATGTTTAGTTATCATGAATTTGTAATATGTGACATACTTGATATCAAGCCCTACAGGGAAAGGATTGGATCAATGAAATGAAAAGAAATATGTATGTAAATGAATGATTTAGTAATTTCATGTTAGTACTGCCAAAGCTTACAAGGGTCTCAAGAAAATACTTGTATACAAGCTGACACTTTATATAATATGAAAAATATGTTTACCTTGCACGAAGTTCTCCTTTCAGTGGCAGAGGATAGTTCTCTTCAATAAGCTGGGCAGCTGAGAGCAGCAGTTGTGTGCGGGAGTAGTGATCAGAAGCAGGCCGTGCTGCACGATGTGATGTCCATGATGAATCAGTGACAGGAAATATAGCACGCATCACCTTAAATAAATCTTCTTTGTGCTTCATTGCAACCTCTAAACTTTCAAACTCTAAGTAAAAGAAATGATTATGGATATAACAGAAGATCGCTCACTAACAAAAAACGCATTTTACATTTATTAATACAGGTTAATGTAAATTAACTAGTTACTGTAAAAAATATTTTTTACAGTAATAAATCATTAAGGTCATTACTGAATATTGTATTACATTATAAGAAATAAAAGGTAAAGTTGTCCCTGTGCTTAATTAACTAAACACCATGCCATGAAGACATACGGGGAAGTGAAGGTATAGTTCTAACTTTCCTGGCCTTGGAAACAGATTGAGGTATTTAGGCAGCTTCATGCTCTGACCTCCTTACCCTTGGGAAATGAGCCCTCGGTACTCACTGGATAGGAGGCTGGGTGAGCCCCACAGCCAGTTTGCATGGTGTGGAGAAAAGAAAACTCTCTTGCCCCTGCCAGCGATTGAAACTTGGCATTCCAGCCTCTAGCCCAGCATTATACTGACTAGGCTATCCTAGCTCCCTTTGTAACAAATGAGAGCCCCACTCCCCAAAAAAGAAAAAAGAACTGTCATAACCAAAATTTATTGCTACTGACAGATCCCCCCCACCCAACCCCATTTTATTTTCCCCAGGCCCTCTATATGTGAAAATGTGACACTGGTGTTTCTAAGTGAACTGGGAAGCAAGAAAAAAAAAAAGTGCAAATTATATTTATAATAATTTCTGTATCTGTCATTGAAAGTTTATTCTGATAAGAAGTATCACAGTGATATAAACTCACGATTCAGTAGCCTATGCTTCTGTGTTCCAGTTAGGGGAACTGCTGCCAGCTCTTCCACAAGGCTTCCATTATATACAGGAGGAGTTATAACCTCAACTCGGTCCTTGAAGATGTCCGTGATTGCAGGGAACTGACTCTCATGAGCTTGAAAATCATAAAGAGATAGTCCTTCTATCAGAAGGACTACTCTATGACTTACATGGTTATACTTCTCAAGTTGGCACCACCTGCAAATAATTCACTACATTACAACACAAATAACTTCAATGTGTTTCTTTTTTCTTTTTTTCAGCAATTCCAAATACAGTGAAATTTCCATTTAAGGTTTCTTTGGAGAGTAGTGAAGGTGACCACAGAGTATGAAACTTAATGCTAAGACAGAAAACTTTACTTTAAGGAATATTAAATGGGGGTTTACAGTATGATGGATGATATAATAATGGTAATTTCTTGCCAAAAAAATCATTCTATTTTGTAAAACACACTGTTTCAATTCCCAGCTATCCAGCAACCAACACCAAATACCTACACCAACAGAGATAAAAACACACAAACAAAACACCCTTGATTAACAAAACAAGAACAAGGAAAAACACAAAGAAATACCATTACACTGGGTTTGAATTCAAATCATGATAAGAAGGCATTCATTTCCATTTAATCAAGAACCTCAATTTTAAATACTAACCTTCCTAACAAGCGGCCTCCGTAGTCTAGGGGTAACGTTCCCACCTCATGACTCAAGGTACATGGGTTCAAACCCGGCGGAGGTCGTGGAATTTTTAAGGGTGGAAAAATTCAGGGAACAAGTACTCCAGGAGGGACTTTAAGCCGTGGGTCCCGTGTCATAGCTTAATGGCACGGAGAAGAACCTCATGTCTCAAGCAGACCACTGAGCCAAATTTGTAAGGACATTTCCTGCCCAACAATAGTCTCTAACGCCTCTGGTAGATGGGGGAAGCACCTAGATACCGCTGAGCCAGTAGAGGCTGAACTCGCTGGCTGAGTCGGGACTGATGGCATGCACCAATACCGGTAGGGTATAGAGACTGGTAGAATATCACAGGGGGACGTACAATAGACCACTGGTGGGGGTGCATGGGGAAACCCACCCCCTCCAACAATAATAATAATAATAATAATAATAACCTTCCTAACAAGTTTTACAAACACGCAATGTACAAACTTACATACTGAGAAAATGTACTTGATGATGGTCCATTAATGACCAAAACATGTTGTTGCACTTCCAAAGGTGAGGTAATCAAAATAAACCCTCAGAAGTGGACGATTTAAATGCAAAAGAATTTGTGCTAATATCTGAGACTGAAAGAAGCATTTTAAACAAAAAGATTAATAAGAGTTCTATTCTTTAAAATTTAAATAAGTTTATAGCATTTTGATATAACAGGACATTGTATTCCCATAAGGCAAACTAAAATTACATTTAACAAGAAATGGTAATCCCTTTTGGCTGCTAAAGGTTAAATAGTTAGCTATCACATACTGATACTGACAAGGAAAGCAAGCATAATGCAGGTGAATAAAGGATAGGGTTGCTTGTGCCTACCATACAAGAGCCCATATTAAGCTATGAATATGCTGTTGTGGGGCACATGTATTATGGTTTTATCTTCCAGTACTATCAGGTGGTAAACACTAATATAAATATAAAGGTGGTCTAGTGGTCAGAGTTCCTGGCTACAGATCCAGAGGTCCGGGTTCGATTCCCGACACTACAAGATTTTCTGAGTAGTGGGTCTGGAACAGGGTCCACACAGCCTCATGAGGATAACTGAGGAGGTATTTCAAGGAAATAGCAGCTCTTGTCTAGAAAACCGAAATTAACGGCAGAGGGGATTCGTTGCACTGACCACGCAACGTGCTCTATCCACTAAAGTTGGCACTAACTTCGTCAACAAATGGCAGTCGCTCGGTCGGTATAGTTTACTTGCGGACTAAAGCCACAGAGTTTCTTCTTTGTTTGAGCCAAAAGTTACTGTGCACCTACACGACAGATGATCAAAACTGCCTTACTCTTAGGATCAGTGTTCATAAACCGGCACAGCAGACAGGTGTCTTGTATAGAATTGCATGTAAAGCATGGAAGAAGCATTTGCACCTGCATCCCTACAAGAAAATATCAGCATACGAATTCAGAGAAAGGGACAACATCCCGAATGTTGAATACTGCGGATGGCTTAGAGATGTAATTACTGCCAATGGAGAGGATATTCTGGATGTCATATTTTTTACCAATAAGGTATGTTTCCATTTATCTGGTTATGTCAACAGCCAGTCAACAGTCATGTTTGGCAGTGACCAAATCAAGGATACCTAATTATATGTTCAGAAGGTTCGTGTGTGGTGTGCCATATTATGAAATCTGACGCTCAGCCCCATATCCTTTGTTGACACTATCAACTCAGAGCATTATTGTGAAGTGATTCATTGTCCCTTCACTGGACATTTAAATGAAGATGAAATTGCCTGCATCTACTTCCAACAGGACAGTGCCTACTGCACACACAACTTTGGTTTCATGATGCTACCACACACTGTGTTCAGGGACAGACTAATTTCAAAGGACAATCCTCACACTCTCCTCACTGTTAGGTACACAACGAATTTTGGACTCAGCCTGTATAATTATCATACAGTATTTTATCGTAAACACATCAAATTACCAGGGCGCATATATGGACAGAATTAACGGAAATGGCATTGTATTAGACATATATCTGGTGATTAATTAGGTTAGTTTATTGGTTTCAGGTCGGACACTTGGATACAATATTACCTAACCACTTTATATGGACATCTAGGTAAACATTTCTAAGATCTATCAAATCTATATAAGCCATGCAAGATTTGAGATTCTCACAGTAATGATTATGAAGTTTAATGTCCTCTGGAATATAATGCCGTCACATTCCAGAAGAAAGTAAAACTTCCTACATAAACTAATTTTCATTGCACAGTAAATACAAACTACACTTCACACACTAAACACATACTCACATAACATCAACAATATACAAAAATAAAAGACTGTTCTCTTGTTGTCACTACCAGCCAAAACCTGCTGCTACATGATACTACAATATTTAAGATCCCCCAATATTAAATCAGAAATCTTGTACCATTAGCAAAATATATTTTTCATTACTCACCTTGATGGCTGATATGGTGAATGATGCCCAAGCATTGAATACATCAACAAATGTTGAACATCACTCAGGAACAGAGGTGTACGTTCTTCTTCCTTCACTGTGAGTGATGCACAATTACCCATTCCCTTTAATCGAAATCGAGGTATATACTACAAAAATAAAAGACAGTCAAAACTGACATCAATGTTTCACATAATGGAACTCATCAGAACGCTATCTCATGACTGAAAACATGCCTTTAAGTGCTTCTTCCTTTCTTGAAGTTGACGTTTAAGTTGTGCATACTCTTCACCACTGAGCTGAATTTTCCCACTCTTTCCTCTCATGGCATGATCAGAAAATCCTGGAGGGAAATTATTTTGATTGGATAGAACAAGCTCAGCATCAAACCGTGGCTCTGAAGATTCTGCTGGAAGGTCGCACACATATTTATCTCTCTCGTGCATAGTTCTGTCTCCTGAAACCTGCCAACATAATATAAAAGTGTAGTAGTTAGTTAGTTAGTTAGTTATTGGAGAGGGTAGGTTTCCCCATGCACTGCAACCAGTGGTCCATTGTGCTTCCCTCTATGATATTCTACCAGTCTCTATACCCTACTGATATTGGTGCATGCCATCAGTCCCGACCAAGCCAGCATGTTCGGCCTATACTGGCTTGGCGGTATCAATAATGCTTCCCCCATCTCTCAGAGGCGTTAGAGACTATTGTTGGGCGGGAAATGTCCTTGAATTTAGCTCAGTGACCTCCTTTGGAGATATGAGGTTCTTTTACGTGCCGTAAAGCTACGACACGGGACNTGTAGTAACATTAAACTGTGTTCCATGTAACATTTTCAGAGGTTCTACACACTTCCTTAAAATCACTCTCAACATGGGGTCTAGCACACCGCTTGCAATGATGGAAGCATCACATGTCATGGTGTTCTGAGCTGTTCTCACGCACTGCAAGCTCTAACATTTGTTTCTATTGAATGTAAGCAGAGCATTTTATATTTGGCTCCTCTAGCCTTGCTGATAGAGATGCGGAATTTCATATGATATAATGGGCAACTGTTGCCAGAAGCTTTTCCTTTACTAATACAATCAGATTTCTCAATCTGACCATCATGCTACTCTTCTTTGTGCTTCTATCTACAGAAGAAGAGAGGAGCCTTTTGTGCTTAGCTGCAATGCTCATGCTGATCATATCACAGCGTTTAGCATAACAGCAAACAGGAGGAGGCAATATTTTCTAGTCCTCATACATGTATAGAGTGCAATCACATTCTATGTGAGGGATACATTCCTCGATGGATGGAGGTGCAGCAATTGTGGTCTCAGCTGTTTCCCTTTGGCAGTGTTCTCTTTGAAGACTGTCGTCAAGTCATGTAGCACCTCTGTGTACTCTCCGTACAGGGCACTATATAGCTGCTTTCCTTTCTGAAATTCGTAGAAATTGTTCCCAATGTCGGCCATGTTTTGGATGATTACAGTCCATTTTGGACTTTCGCTGCCTTAAGCAGGGGTACATCCCACTAGGTGGGCAATGGTGGTGTGTATCCCACGTACACGTTCCATGAAAGCATTGGCATCAAGATGCTGCTGTATGGTGTTTTCATATTCCAACTCTGGAGATTCAATTAGGTTTGACCATAGCTTCTGAAATTCTGGGGTAGGTACATCAGCCATGATCTGCACAGGCCCATAGCCAGGTCATGGACTTCACTCACACTGGTTGCATCAAACAGGAGAATGCCATGAATTCACTACATAAAGCTTACTATGGTAACTCCAATGTTCACTTTCCTCACTAACTCTCACTAACTCACTGATTCACTCCTTCTCCACTGCTTACTGTCCCTACTTCCCTCACTTTATTAACTGTATGGGTGCTCTACCTATGTAGCCTTGGGGCAGACCCAGTGGGAAACACAGTTTCCAACAGTTCTCTACTGTGGCATCACATGTTCATTGCTGTGGAAATGTATTTATTGGCCATTCCCTAGCGATGGACGACTCTTCTGGCTCCATTATTCCAGTCTTTCAGCTGCCATGTCACAATACTGTGAACGCAAACAATGTTGTCCAGGCTGGCTCTAGGGCCCACCAAGCCTCCTATTCAATGGGTACTAGGGTTCTTTCTCTGGGGATAAATTTGCTGGATGGTGCATCTGACCAATCACCTCATCTAATGACAAGGTCAATAATGGTGGAGCTGTATCTCCACTCCCCCATACAACTTCATGGCATGGTGTTTAATTAATTGAGCACAGGGACAACTTTACCTTGTACGATGTACTGTGTAACACAGACATAAACAAAATTCACGTGACAGTGGCGGTGACTTAAATATAACATAGGACAATGACGTCATTACATGTCAAAATAAGTTCTATCACCTCTTCTCCGACTTGCTTGGGGTAAAATTCTGCCATCACTTCCATACTGACTCACTCCTCCTGTGTCAGCATTACAGTCTTGCACAGAATAGAGCATACTTTGTAAAGCAGAAAGATAACTAATGCAAGTGGCAGGAGTTAAAAACGGAGACACAGTGGCGTGCCGTGCATGGAAGCAAGGGAAGCATTGCTTCCGTAGTTAAGAAACGAAAAGAAAAGAAGTCATATATAAATAATTCAATTTGAATCATAAGGATTTGAGTATTGTCATTTAGCACGTGTTCCTGCTCAGGGCCACATGCCTCCTCCTTCTCCCTTCCCTTGCTTGGTGGGATGGACAAAATTTCCTTCGTTATTCTCCAGTAAAGTTTATCGCACATGAACTGGGCAAGGAAGTGACTATTTGCGGGCTAATGCCTGTGATATGGAAGTGAAGACCTGTGTTCTTTCAATGGTTATGAGAAAATTAACTGTTTATGTGTGATTTCAGTCTTGTTGCGTGTTATAGGTAACCTTTAGTTTTATTAAAATATTGTAAGTGTATATTTAGATGGCGTAAGATTGTATTTGTGATCATATTTTGACACATCAGAAAGAAGCTATCTGCATTTAAGGGAAGCAAATCTCTTACTGCGATACACGGGCAGGGGCGTGATTAGACTACACACACAGGCAACAGCTAAAATGAATGCTGGCAGACAACGTGACTGCGACTGTGCAATTGAAAGCCTTTTAAAACGGAGGTTTAATAGCAGGGACTTTTCTGAAAAGAAAATAATTATAGAAAGAGGACGACTGACATGAGAGGTGCCAGAACTTAAAGCACAAACCAAATTTCATTTTGAATAGTATTCTAAAACAGAGTGGCTATCCGGTTGCCGTAATATAGGAAAATTGTTTTGTTGGCCATGCCTATTGTTTCTCATGGAAAAAATGTATGGAACAAGACTGGGTTTGGTGATACCAACAAACTTCATAAAGCATTGAAATGACATGAGAACTCTCAGACTCACATTATTTCAACAGTGCAATTTGTTATGTTCGGGAAATCTCGAATTGACTGTCAACTTGACACGCAAAAGCACCTGACGATACTACATAGAGAAATAATAAAAAGCTTGATTGATATCATCTGCCATTTAGGAAAGTGGCAACTTGGCCTTTGTGGTCATGACGAAAGCGTGGATTCTATCGACCAAGGTAATTATGTGGAATTACTTCACTTGTTGAGGAAATATGGTCATAAACTCAATGTTCACCTTGAGAACAGTATGGTATTTACAGGTTTATCGAACAGAATACAAAAGGACCTTACTGACTCAATAAGTGACGTAAATTTTGGTGAGTTGATTGCTATCAGTTAGATTATTAGGTACCACTGCTTCCCTTACCTAAAATAGTACCGCACGCCACTGTGGAGACATATATACTGGTAATACCAATAATGTTAGTCTCTCCCTTATCAGTATGACCTGTATCTAACTTTGGTATTGCAATGTGTTAGACAGATGAAGCTGACATAGCTAATTTAAAACATTCACAGCACAATGAGGCAATTTGATTTCTTATATTCTGGTCCGTCACCAGTCACACTAGAAGGAACTGTTTAACTTTTCATGAGAATGATGTAATTTACAGAATTTGCTTTTTTAATTGTTAATGATTTCATAAAGGACTCTGTATTGTCAACCTGTGTGCCTGAACATTTAATCACCAATGCACATGTTAAAGTCTCATGCATAATATAGTATCGCATACCGCTGTAGTTTCATTGTTCTTCTTAAGACGTTTCCTGCTATGTTCTTCTTGAGGTACTTCTGCAAGAGTATTATTATCAGCATTAGAACATTCAAAGTCCTTCCTATTTTGGTGCATCACAGCTTCGGCCTGAAATCACAGAAAAAAAGATTTAAAATTCTACTCATTTATGACAAATTATTATGTATATAAAAAAAACTAAAACTCCGTGGCCTGTAGTCCGCAAGCGAACTATACCGGCCAAGCTACCACCGCATGTCAGTGAAGTTAGTGCCAACTTTAGCAGATAGAGGGTGTCATGTGGTCAGCACAATGGATCCCGATGGCTGTTAATCTCGGTTTTCTAGACTGGAGCCACTATTTCCTTGCAATAGCTCCTCAATTTTCTCCATGAGGCCGAGTGGACCCCGTTCTAGACTCACTACTTCTCAGAAAATCTGGTAGCACCGGGAATCGAACCCGGGACCTCTGGATCTGTAGCCAGGAACTCTGACCACTAGACAACAGAGGTGGGTATATACATTTTATTACAGCAAAAAGTTCAGAAAATACCTGGATATTTAAAACTGTGAGTAGGGTAAGTAAATAATGTGCAAGAAGAGTTTCTCACTAACCTCTCTGTCCTTATCATTTAATTTTGCCACTTCCAAATAGGCTGCCAATTTCTTCTTTCTCTTTTCTACTCGCTGCAACTGCTTTGACGTAAGTGGCTTCATCTTTGTATTTGAGGATGCTGTCGCACCTTCCAACAGCCACAAAAATTACAGTCAGAATTTCTTTATTATATATCAGTTCAAAAAGAAGTAGATAAACTTTTTCTATAAAGTGAAGTTAATATTTGGATTTATTTCACACATTTCATTCATCAGTTTATTGAAACCAGATTTTAAATAAAAACTGTACAGGGTTAACAGGTAAAGGTAAACTATGTTGGATATGAGGTTCTCACTGCAGTGATTACGATGATTACCCTTCTGGGCTGTAATGCAATGTACTATGGTAGAAGTCCACGGATGTTTCAAAAGAAATGTACTGTGTCTGTCTTCAGGGTTGAAGAGTAAGCCATCTTGCCATTTGCTTCTTGCTGGTTTCTTGTTTGTCTTAATCTTTGACCCTAAACATGGAAGAAACACATTCTTTTGAAACACTAGTGGACTTCTACCTAGGTATATGGCATTACCACTCTACAGACTGTACTCTTCAGGTAAAGGTAAAGTTACACCATGAAGACATACAAGATGAATTAAGTTTATCACACATCTCTATTTATGCAGATTCAGGCTGGGAACCTATGAGAAACAGGTACAAAACATTTTATACATGTTGATGATAAGGGGTTAGATACAGTTGGATGTGTCAACTAATTAAAAGCAACTCTGTAACAGACATTACAGCTGACACCATTTTAATGATGTATATAATGTTATGATTGACATAACTGACTCCAGTGAACCGTCTTTGAGAAGTTAACAAACAACCATTCAGCCATACAAGAAATTCCTTGCCTTTTATGGAATTGACCACTGGACTCCATCCTGAGAGAGATAAATCTGGTCCACGCACCCATCCTATTTCTTTAAGCTCTCTCTAAACGCTATCCTCCCATCTAAACTCAGGTCTTCAAAGTGGTCTCTTCCCTTCCAGTTTTCTGGCAAAATTCTGAAGCCATTTCTTACGTCTCCCATTGATGCTACATGCCCACCCATCTCACCTTTAAAAAGTTCCTCATCACACATCTGTTTCCAGCTTCCTATCACAATAACTTAATTAGCAATAAGAGTTAAAAGGACAATGGGGAAATATTACAAGAGATACAATGTGTTTAACCAAGCCTTGACAAAGGCCGCGTCACAGCTCAAGTGGTTAGTCACTGGCTTCCCACCACAGTGGCCCGGGTTCGACCCTGGGTCTGCTCAAGTGCGATTTGCGGTGGACAAAGTGGTGCTGGGGCGAGTTTTCTCTGAGTACTTCGGTTTCCCGGGGCAGGCTACAATAGGCCAATCAGTGGCCGCTGTCCCGAGTGGACCCAGTTGGACTCCACACCCCACTTAATGAAATAAGAAAGCCTTCAGAAATAAAAGCAGTTGATAAATTACTGAAAAATAAGAGAAGGTGCTAAATGCATGTATTTTACTCTACTGATGAATTTGTTGAGCATGAAAGGGGCTCAAAAGTTAAGAGTTAATAAATGGTCTGTGTGCATGAATTATGTATTATTAAGACTTGCTTGTTGTAAGTGTAGTAGTATGTATCATGTGTGTTTTTCTTATGAATTTTAATATTTTATAATGTAACTGTTTTAATGCTACTGCTTGCCAGTGTGTTTGTGGACTGGCAAGGCGTGAATTTGACAGTGGTTTTCCCATGACTCATGTGTGTTGTCCTGACAACTTGAGCTATCTGTGAGAGGCCTGATTATATATTTTATTGGACAAAGGACGAATGATGTGTAGTCATTATGAATTTGTAATATGTGATATGTTTTATATCCAGCCCTACGGGGAGATGATTGGATCCATGAAGTGAAAATAAATATAAATGTCATTGCAGTTATAATATATGTCAATTGGACTGAAATTATGTAACAGTTTAAAAATATTATTTTAGGAATAAATACCATAGCACGGATGGAATTTAAAATCCCTCAAGTAGTCATACCTTACTTTAACACAATCTTCCAGTGCTGCACTTTGAACATCCTCTCTCTTATGAATATGCTTGGTCTTTCATCAAGTGTACGTATCTCACATATAGCATGTTACCGAAAATTCTTCCTTTTGCACTATATACAAGTCCTCTGTCAGTCCATGCTTTTCAAAGCAAATGAAGTCTATCGTATGTATCTTATGCTACAACAGCAGTCTAGTCACATGAATGGTCATAAGCTTGACCACCAAGTTTAAGCCGCATATATTTTCTATGACTGGCTTTGCCTTAACCTATACTGCGAATATGTTCATTCTCATAATTTTTTATGACTTCTGCTTGTCGCCTGCGCAGTTTTGTTATATAATCGTATACATACTGAAGGTTGAAAGCCATGTGCAAACAGCGGACAGGTGTCCGCCTCGAGAAATTTCCAATGCTCAAACGCTCACTTCTGAACAGGGAGCTGATTCTTATAAATGTTCTGAAGGCCTTGGCATCAGCCATTTCTATGTGCTGTCTCAATTATGAAATAAAAATAATAATTATATTCCTGGATATGCAAGTAGGTTATGTTGCTCAGTAACACTTCCCACCAATTGTTACAATTTGACCAGTTACGTGCACGCAAAATTAACAAGTTAATATACTTACAATATAAAACTATTGGGACACCGCTTCCTTTGTGCGTCGCGTTTTCCCAAACGCAGCTTTAATAACCAAAATATTCAATTCTTGGAATATAGAACGTTTAAAACCACCATCAAAGAAAGGAAAACATGCCATCAAATAATTTCAGAGCCATCTAGCAGCAAGGTGCGTAACTAGCGGTAACCAGCCTAAGCAAACAGGTTCGGCAGCGGGTCGGCAGGGTTCACTCCAGTCACTCAATGTTCTGTGCTCTCTGAATTCATTGACATACGCTGGCACCAGTGGTCCCATGGTCATGATCGGTCGTTCAATGGGCTGATTCTCGCATTGTTGTTCGAATTGTGCTTGTCCTTTTATAGGTTGCAGTGTCTCAAATTGTCAACATCAGCTATTTCAAATAGTCCTGCTGGGCATATAACTTTAAGATCATGTGATTACACTGCACTTGTCATCTTTGCAAGGACTGGGCCTTTCGGCCTGTCCTGAGCCCAGGGTTAGTCGAATTGGTCCCTCCATCTCTCTGATGGTTGGCCTCTCTCCCTTTCTCCCTTCTTCCTTCTGGGTGGTAACCAAATAGCTTCCAAGGAATTCCGTCAGTTAACATTCTTAAGATGTGTTCATATTACTTGTACTAATGTTGACATTCATTTCATTTCCTCTTTTTTTTTTATACACAGTTTTTAGTTCCTGTCTAATATCTCCATTATTTGGTCCTATTCTGTTGGGTCCCCTTCGTCCAGCAATTGAGGCTAGCTCTTTCTAAGGGACCCAACAGAATAGGTGTTTTTCCCTCACCTGAGGATGGAAACAGACCAAGATTCCGAAACGTCTGCGCCGTATTGTTCCTGCATCATGAGAACATGCCCACCCACACATCCCTGAAAACCACAGAGTTTGTAACTAACAACAACAAGATTATTGTTCTCCATCCTACATACTTTCTGGACTTAGCCCTCTGTGATTTCCCTTTGTTTCCCAAATTGAAAATGAAACTGAAGGGGACAACATTTTGAAAGAGTGTCTGACATCCAAAGGGAATTGCACTTTCTAAGGGACCCAACAGAATAGGTGTTTTTCCCTCACCTGAGGATGGAAACAGACCAAGATTCCGAAATGTCTGCGCCGTATTGTTCCTGCATCATGAGAACATGCCCACCCACACATCCCTGAAAACCACAGAGTTTGTAACTAACAACAACAAGATTATTGTTCTCCATCCTACATACTTTCTGGACTTAGCCCTCTGTGATTTCCCTTTGTTTCCCAAATTGAAAATGAAACTGAAGGGGACAACATTTTGAAAGAGTGTCTGACATCCAAAGGGAATTGCAAGTGGTACTCAACAGCATTAAGGAATGGTGCTTTTGAAGTGTGGGATTGCTGTGTATGTTCCCAAAGAGACTATTTTGAAGGAGATGGTAGCCAAATTTGAGTAAGTTAAGCCAGCATTTCTTTTTTGACCTAGTCTAGGAACATTCCAATAGCACCTCATATTGGGAAAATATTTGTCTCATTGTTCAATGGCCAGAAGCAGGCTCAGGCCTTATAGTCTACAGTTCATTAGATACTAGTTTTTTAGTTAGATTATCCGGTGTTTCTAATTATCCATGCCACTTCTCCCTCCTCCCATTACTGTGGACTCTCAAGAGTTTGTTGCACAAGAAGAACAAGATGATTACACCACAGCATATTTACACAAATATATATTTCTTTCAAATAAATAGTTGAACAGACAAGTGCAATAAATTGCAAAGGTGCCCACTGACTCACATATACACCAAAAATAAATACAAATTTGTGCATAATTTTATATTTGGAATATGATGACTGAATCAGTTTCAAATATAATAGCATTCACCTCTATCATTTGTCACCTATAGTTTTAGTTTTCATATGGGCTTCTAATATACTACCCAAAATAAGTTAAAACAATACCACTATATGAAGAAACATGATATAATTATACATTTAAAATATGCACTAAACAAAAAATATCCTACAAAATATATAATGCTTGATATTGACAATATCTTTAACATATATGTAAATGCAGTAATGTAGAAAAACTGGTAACACTGCTAACCATTTTATATAACAAAATCTTTTCTACAAAACTAGTGTCAGTAACTTAGAAACATCACATTTTCAAATTAATATGTTGAAAATGACTATTTGGTATTTCAATTTGAAATAATGAAGAAGCTTCTGATAATATGACAATAAAGGGTTTGTTATAGGCTTATCTTCCAGCATTTAAGAAAGTAACCATTTTGGATGTACGCTATATGCAAAATGCTAAAACATTATGAACAGACTGAATTTCATGTAGAAGTAGCATATGAAAATCACAAAGTGCCTGTAAACCAGTTTGGCCTGCCAGAAAAATGTCTAGCAGTAACACAAACTGCATGTTACAGAAAAAGAAACATGCCTGAGATCAGAATTACAGTTGTCATGGAATGCTTCTATTGTATATTCCAATTAATTTAAATGTGCATCATTTTACACAATCTAATAATCTCACAGTTTTACTCAGGGTGGGCAAGCATTCAATTCAGCTGATTCAAAGAGCATATAACTTTCCTTCTATAACTTAATTTTTAACATAGAAACCTCATGCAAGTATTCTACAAATGGGGTATGTTAATTCAACCAAGACTAACATTTTATAACAGCACTTGTAGCAAGATAATTTCCTCAGCAGTTCCTCTGGAACTCTGTATTATCAGGAACGCTGGTTGCATGTTGTATGCAGTGATGCATACATACTATGGGACCTTTTTAAGTCTGTGAGGGCTCTCTGCAGCATTCACCTTGTTTGTAGACCAGGTGCACCGTATTTTTGTATAAATTAAATTACTCAAAACACAAGGTGTACTACTTTTTAGCCTACTTTCCCCATTTTCAAAAAATAAACGTAGGCTTATGAGAACACCATGCTGCTTGTATGTCTGTATATCTCCAGCTATTAATTTCTAAATGCCTGAACCAATCTTTACATAACTCTTTGCATTAATCATGGCGCCTGAGCCCATCTAAACAGCACACCCATTCTCCCTTCATATGTGTATATGTGTATCCACCTATCTCTGTTAGGTAGCCGCTCATTAAAAACGATACAGCAACCATGAATACACATGAAACGATAAAAGAATTGTTGGAAACATAATATTTTATGTTGTCTGTGTCATATCAAGGGAAAGTAGGTGATTAATTCTTCCCAGAACTTCTTGTTTAGTATGTGGAGAGCATCCTGCTGTTCTGAGATGTAATGCCATATAGTCTTGTAGATAGGTAACAGCATTTTGGAGGAATCTGCTGCCTCTGTCTTCAGGGAGATGGAGGAAGCAAAGTGTTGGTGCCTAACTACTAAACTGCATGGAGACACATCGCAGAAACTTTGATCTTTACATTCATCACCATGATTACTCAAATCTCATATGTAAAAGAGGTTGCTGACTCAGATAGACTGTGCATGTTTTCTTTGTGTCCAGGTATGGAGAAGATATGACCATACTTTCCTGTGTTTCGTTATGAAGCTCAGTGCAGAATATCATAATCTAAAAAACATATTATTTATTTGATGAACAAATGCATATGCTAACTTTCTGAACATCTGATTTTCTGACAGGTGACAAAAGCTGATAAGCTTGGTGAGACTGTATTACAGCTTCTCCTTGCCTTTCCTCACCCCTCAAGAGACCATGCACAGATGAAATCAAATATTAGTCCCTCCAGGAAACGTGCGATCATTGGTCACATGGTTTGTGTAAGTGTTTACAATTTTAAAAAATATTTATAAAAACAAGAAAGTAACTAAGCTTATATAAATATGTCATATGAGTCTTCCAAAAATTAATCAGAACAACCTCTTTTGAATTAAAATCCAAAGTTTAAACACTGAAAAAATGAAAATTGCCACTGAGCCAGTTCTGAGACAGTTTAATCACATCTGTTTTCCAGTTTTCAGATCTGTTCAAATAACCCATCTGCCCCTGAAAACACGTTAAGATATTCTCATTTTGTGTAATTAGCAACACCAACATGAGAAACATATTTCATAAGTCATAAACTCAGTATCATTGCTGTGGGTTTGCACATCTTTGTTAATTACCTTATTTTGAATTATTTTCTTTTTCTCAATATTCTGTTTAGGGATACTGAAGGTAAATATAAAAGTTAATGAAGATCAAGAAACATGTTGTTGCCTGATGTTCCACAGCAAGCTACTATGCCATTAGCTTCCTTCCATCCCAGTATTACTAAATCTTTGTTCCCTAAGGCACATTATAAGGCCTCAGAAATTTATTTAAATGGCCAGAATGGTAAGCATATACAGAAAAGGTCAATTAGTGAGACTCATGGAACAGCTGCTTGACTTTTCATGAAATAAGTTAAGTTCGTTATTATTCACAATTCTAACACTGTTAGTGAACTTGAAAATCATATAAAAACTGCATTTATTCACAACAGTTGTGTTTCTGCACCCTCTCCTTACAAACATCATGTAAGACAGGTATCTTATTTGCAGTTTAACATTTTTTAGATATTATTTGACATTTGTGTGTTGTATTATTCAAACCATTCCTTATGAAATTTTATATGTCTCTTAAGCGAATGCCAGCTTATTATTGGTGATGATAATGGGTAAATCTACATAACACTTTATGTCTTTAGACAAAGAACGTAACAACATGATGTTAAAACATAAATGACTCTTCTTTACCAGTAATGTGCAGTAAAAGTGTACAGAGATACCAGTAGTCTTCTCACACCCCCACTCAGAAAATAAATTATTAATTATATTCACATCAAAGCTCATGAATATGCTGAAGCTTGTCCACCTCTAATCTAAATAATTTCTTGATTCTGTTGGCAACTAGAGGCACTTTCCCCAATCCTATATCATATGTAACACTGCCATGGCTAAATATATTCCAGCACCAAACCTATCATTCATTAGACCATACTATCATTTCAGTATTGCACTTCACTATGGATATTTTCCCATCTGCAATTAATACTGTATATAAGAGATTCTACCCTTGAATGTATAACATACCATTTCAACCTTTTTAAACAAGACTATACATAAGATTATGGTCTTCTGGGATTTGGCTAATACACGTCCTCGCTTCCCTCTTTCTGCACCATTTTTTCTCTGTGGCTTATTCTTCTACTCTGAAGATGAAAGCAGCCTGTTCCCCCAAAATGCTGATACCTATCTACAAAATGACTGTGTGTCACTCCCAGATGACTACAATCTTAATAACTTTGTGAGCACCTCAATGTCACAGACTGTACATAGTGCAAATATGGTTGACCATCATATTCTTATACTAACTGGATATTTGTCCTGTATTGACATTTGAAAAATCAACCAGTATGTTTAGGAAATATCAACCCTCTGTGTCCTTGATTTTTCTTTTTGCTTTCTTTGCATATACAATGGTGATATCTAAAAATAGCAAATAAAAGATAAGTTAAAGAAACTGAGATTTTATCTATTATAATTAAGCATCTTGTTTTACCATCAGTATATACAACACTAACAATATATTACATTTGTTTTGAAAGCCTGAAATGACTAGAATATCTAGAAAAAAGGAGAGGACATAATGAGGTATTCTTTTTAATTAACTACCTGGTATACATTTCATACCAGAAAATGTATTTCAGCTACAGTCAACTAAATTCAACTAGCTTTCAACAAAGTAAGTCACAACATTATGCAACATAATTTTAATAAGTTCTATAAAGAAGGGATGAGTAACACATCATTAGACAACGTGAAACAAACACTTCAAATTTTACTTCATATATGACCTCCAAAAAGTTGAGGTACAACAGACATACATTATAAATACTGAATGTAGGGTGACACCCATATTAAAGGTCACTGAAATCAAACTTTTGCCAACCCAGATGCTCGGTTTTAAATACAGAACATTCCTGAATTCATTCATTGATGCTTAACCATGGAATCTGTTTTCTTTACTTATATGTGTATATTTCCAGAAAGAAGCAAATGGCACTCATTCTTGATCCTCTGCAAGTTATAATTGTGAACTATACACAACAGATCTGCCATAAGAATAGAAGCCATTTGGAAAAGGAAATAATACACAACTAAGTGAAATAGTAAACTCATGGTGGTTGAATGTTCTGTGAGGAATAAAATCTTTTCAATACACACATTTTAGAGTATATATTTTGTAATAATAAGTGAAAGGTTCATTCAGAGTTGCAAGCCAAACAAATAGCAAATACCAACCCATGTATGTGGCTATATGTACTCTATAAACACATTTTCTTAGCTGTCATTAAGTGTCTTATTTTCAGAACATCCATCGTAAAATTCTGTACAATGATTTAAATGATTTTCCTCAGCTTTTTTAAGTCAAATGTAAGAAGAGTACATTAAAAAAGGGCAATGACTGCTTTCAGGGCCAGTGCAAGCACAATGTCATGGCAGGTGACAATAAATTCTAATCCCCTATGTTAAAAACAGATAACACAAAAATTTCCAGACACTGGAACAAAACTGCCCTTGGTGTCATAATTCTTAAAATAGTTTTATTTATATTGTTGCATAACATGTTTCGATTATTACATATTAATGGTCATGATACAAAAGTGATTGGCAAAAACCAGTTATTATACAAAAAAAAGTTTGTAAAATGTGTTACCCCAGGTGGATGCTTGGTTTGTCTATGCTGTCGCACTAATCCTAACTGCTTCCACATTATCAACAGTTCATCCAGAGGTATGTTAACATCATCATTCACGCTACATAAAAAGGTACAGAAAGGTAGAGTCATCCTTGTGCTTAACTAAGCTCTACACCATGAAGGTGTATGGGGGCTGGGGGGTAAATATAAAGATCTACGTTTTCTTGACCTCAGCATTAGGTAGATGTGAGTGGTCAGCTTCACGCTCCGACTGCTTTTCCCCTGTGGAAGGAGACCCTGGTATCCATTGGATAAGAGGCTGGATGGGCCCCATAACTGATGTGGACCACATGGAGAAGAGAAAATTCTTGGCCCTATTGGGACTTGAACTATTCCAAGATTCAAGCCAACTTCCAAATGTGAATCTGTAAACTGCACTGTTTGGTCACTAGCATACAAACTCTTCCTGATCATCATATGAGATGAGTTTGTTTGAATGGAACACAAATTTGCAAACCACAACCATGGGTCAGATTGTAACTGGTGTGCTAAATAACAGAAGTTGATAAAACAGCACCATAAAAACTGCAACACTCTCCATTATACTCTCTATATATTCCAGTATTTTAAAACCTTTGGCCCACAAAAATATTAGGTAGCCAACTCTAGAAGTTACAATCAGTGGGTACTATAACATCATTATTTTTCTACAGAGAGAAATTTCAGCTTTTTAAGGACCGATGGGCAATGTACCAGATCTTCAGTGATGCATGTCTGTTCTGAGATGCAAAAATGCAAAGAAATCAGATCCTTAGATGGTTAAGATACAGAACTGCTCAGTGAGCAATTCTGTTTTATGTTGTTATATTATACCTAGATGGACACACATTGTGGTGACATTTACATGGTGGTCAGGCCCCACCTTAAAAAATTTCTGATTCTTTTTTCAGTGTTCAACATCCAGGACAGATGTATGAAAATCTGTGACCTACTAGAGAATAACAACAGCACAACATGAAAAGCAAATAAAATATTACGTCTGGTTTCGCGCCAGAATATTAAAGTATACCAGGAAGGTGAAATGAACATTGCACATTGACAGACCTGGGTGCTAAACAAAGCAAATGTGCAGCTTTAGGTTCTGCTTTCCTTCACACTTGGGGACAAGTTTCCAACCATTTGAGTGAGTGAGTTACATTGATGTGACACAAAAATAATAAAAAAACAATAACATAATTATACCAATGATAGTAAATTTGAACTCATTTCCTATGCATTTACAGACATATTCAAGGAAACTCATGCTTATAATTCACATATATTTATACTAATTGTATGTGTATTTCTAATGGAAATTAATTATGATTCAGTCAGTAAGGCTGGAATGGATCATACATATATATGAAGTGGCCCTAACTGCTGGCCTTTGCACTGTGACCTCAGCGAGATATATTGAAATGGGTCAATAAGTGAGACAACTCCCTGACTGCATGTTATAAAGACATGCAAGCTTAGAAGTAATTAGAAGGCACAGATGGGTAAAACCAATTAGAGTAGCAGGAAATTTCAAAAAAAAAACATAGCTTGCTTAGACTTCATATTAATTTAAAGTTCCTTCTCTATTAGTACTACCATATCATTTCTTTGAACATATAATTTTATTTGTAAATTTGGAACTTATTTTTTTTTCTGAATTTCAGTTCTGATTTTACCCACCACAAATATTATGTACTTGTAATGTGCTTGCAACAAAGAATGCACCTTATCAAATATATTTGTATTGAACCTTGTTTCATACACACATGCTTGAAACAAATGAATGTTCGCTGCAACAGATATTAACATATATACAGCTGTTTATAGACACAAAAGTTTATTTAATGTCATTGAAATTTGCTAATGTTGAAAATGGGCAGGTGAGCCAGGTGTTTGAACTCCATTTTGAGCATTAAAATGTCTGGGTTATCTTCTATCAGTGAATATCTGAGTTATGTGTTTATTTCAAAACAGAAACCAAAAAGGCATAACACTTCAAGAAAGTATAATACTTAATTTTCTTTTTTGCATCCTGTTGTGTTATAAAATCAAGGTACTGGGGCCATTGACACAACAACAACAACACCAACTAATTTTAATAAAACATTAAAACCAATAAAATACTAATGGTTCAATAAATCTTATTGTTTCATTCCACCACTAGATGTTTTGGCTGCATGGCTCGTCAGGTGTCTTGTAAATAAACATGTAAAACATAACATTATTGAACTGCAGATTAAATGGATCAATTTTTACAATGAAAATGTCTTAATCAATTTTTATATTGAGTGATAAAATATAAAATGAAAATTATAGTGGTTTTCTTAAATTGTTAAAAGGGTTAAAATATGGCAGAGGAAATATAATGTGAGTCTTGTTACATATGGCATATGAAGGGTGTATGAGGTATGTTGGTCAGAAAGGAAGACCATCCAAAACATGACTGAAAGAAAACATGCACGTGATACAAGCAAATAAATCAAACTCCAAGTACACTCATAACATACATTTGACACAGGACATACAATGCACCTGATAAAACAATATAAGTACTCCGCATAGCAAAGAAGGGTCACCTATTAAATATACTGGATTGTTTTCATTGTATATAATCTTATCACACAAAAACAACAGATGAGTGATACATTTGCAGATACCAACAATCCCATATTTGACCTAACTTTAAAATAGGTTTTAATAGCTACACAAAACACTTCCACCACCCTATCTCCTTCTTCATTCCCTCCCACCCCCACTTCCCATTCAAATTTCCAATCCCCTGTCACACAAACACTAAATACACCTAATACATATACCTTAGTTACTGCCCAGAACTTCAAACAGGTACATCCCAGACGCACCACAGGAGGTATAAATTTAAGGTTAGAGTACCAAAATACATAAGTTAAAAAATAAATTCAATTGACCATAATGTATTTAATTACAGCTACTTTGTAGATGCAACAACAGTAGCTGAAAATTCCACTACTTGGTATTCCGCACCTACAAGAAACCTCCAAGCCAAATAACAACTACAGACAACTCACACTCCATCACACATTGGGATTCATTTAAGTGAATATTATACATTTATTTAAATAATTACCAAGGCACCACAACATAATACAGCAAGGATTTCATAATTAAACATAAATGCACTATAAAGAAAGCAGTCTTCTGGGATGTGGCGCCGTGTATAAGTGGTGTTAACCGAAGTTTCAGAGGAACATACGCCTCCATCTTCAGGGTAGAAAGAAAAATAAGAAAATCCGAAAGCGAAGAAACAGTGAGAGCAGGTGCAAGCTAACATCAAACTTCAAATCTTACATAAATGAACTAATCAACAACATTGCATCCACTGTATACAAGATTCTCCACGAACACAGTATTGCCACAATTTAGGGGTGTGACTATAGAGAGGATATTGATTGGATATTGGATATATTGACCATCTGTATACATCACTCAGACCTACACTTTATAGATCACTGACACACAGACTAGTGTCCTGAGTCTATTTCAGTCTCCACTAGCCGTTTCCTGGCAACAGATTTAACACAGGGGCTATAAAGTCTCACTGAATTACATACTCCAAATATCATACATAAAGTATTTTTTTCACAACCTCACTTTTCTTCAAAGCCTCCCATAGGGAACTGACTCTCAACTGACTACTCTCAGCTAAGTGGATTGCCCACTTTGCATACGCTGAATATAAAACACAATTTCCAAAAATACTCTATTGTTATAGGTGTGTTTACTGATCTGTTGCCTACAATGGGTTGCATAATCCCGTTGTTTTATTGTTGCGTGTGTGTATGTTGCAGACAATAGCAATAATCACATTTACATAGTCGCTGTGTAGTCTATATGCCACAGTATAATACACCTTACATTCCCCACAGTGTCTATTATATGTAAGTGTATACAACTAACAACAAACAATCATTGTCATAATTATAACACCACACCTTATAATAAAATATTTACGTTACATTTACATATATTTTCACTTCATGGATCCAATCATCTCCCCATAGGGCTGGATATAAAACATGTCACGCATTACAAATTCATGATGACTACACATCATATGTCCTTGGTCCAATAAAATATATAATCAGGCCTCACACAGACAGCACAAGTTGTCAAGACTACACACACAGGCCTTGGAAAAACCACTGTCAAATTCACACCTTGCCATTCTACACACACACTGGCCAGCCATATCATCAATAAAATACTTCAATCAATACTTTGGAAATACACTACTCCAACCAACTTCCAGAAGAGAACAGGTTCATCAATAATATGACATATTAAACTATCAATAAATACCACATTACTCTTGTCATGTACTTATACATATACACCCTTCCTATGCCATACTTCACAAGCCTCACACTACATTTAATCTGGCCTATTTTAATCCTTTTAACAATTAAGGAAACCACTATAACTTATATTTTATACTTTTTTAATGCTTAACACAAGGATTACGTTTTCCATTGCAAAAGTTGGTCTATTTAATTCCATACTTCAAATTAAGTATTTTACTTGTTTATTTAAAAAACACTTGATGATCCTCCCAGAGACCAAAGCGTGTGGTAGGATAATGAGACAGTAAAATTTATTGAACCACTGATATTGTATTGATTTTATTAAAATTTAATTTACTTCGTTGTTGTGTCAATAACTTCAGTACCTCAATATAATATTTACTCATATGCCTGCACATTATCTGGTCCTTAGCTGCTGAAGTTTTGAGGACAATGAGGCAACAATGGTCTAGACTAATGTGCATCATCAATTGAAAATTACTGTAATAAAGGAATGATCATTAGATATAAGTTCCATGGTGTACTGGTCAATATTTTTACAGTAAGTTGTAATTACTTATCCTTAAGGACAGAATGCACTGGGAGATGTAAAGCTGTTTAATTTCATAAAAAACAAACAATTTCTTCATGACCTGACAGAATTCACAGTGTCTGATGTGTTTTAGGCAGTCCCAATCTAACCACTAGCCTAATCAAAGTTGCTATTTACTGTTACATGTATAGTTTAGGACATAAATAATTTGTTATAAATGGAGTGGTAAAAATAACAAATGCTGTGAAACTACTGTAAGAAATATAAAATTACCAGAAGGTGGCCAGATGCCTTGGCTTTTCAAGATTATTCTTATGTCACATTAACCTTCCATCAATATTGTGAAATTTGTAGATCTGATGTTATTTGTTGGAAAAGAAAAGTAAAATTGACACTTTCTGCTTAAATTATTCTCTGCAGAAATTTGTTTTGGCTTTGCAGTACACAATAAGTCAATGGCTTGTTTAATTGCCCCACTTCCATCTTTCTCTAAATACAGTTACATGCAGTTACATCAAATAATGACCCTAGAGACAAAATAAATCAATTATGGCAAATATTTTAAATCGAATTGTTAGTGGAAGTATATACATAAGATTTCTCTTATGCAGCAGTTGTTCAAACAGACATTTTTTTTCATGTAAATTGTGAGGGACCCTGTTTAATCACCTGTATATTGTTTTATATTCAGAAAACTGGTACACCTTGCAGAGCCGTTACATATGTAATAAACCATACTTTTAAATGTATAGGTCACCCAAATTTCGTTTACTGATGGGAGATAAGGAAAGCTTAGATGTTCATAAGTCCTACCTCATGTGTCATAACTTTCTCCTCCTGTGCTTTCCTCTTGGACAACAACCAAGCAGTAGTTAAGACAGTAAACAGACAGTAGTGCTTTCAGCTTCAATTATCAATGCTTTGCTGGTTGACTTATACTGTCACTCATGATATTATATTTAAGCATCCTGTTGCACTCCATACGATAAATTATATNCTCATGAATTAGGAATACTACTGTAAGTGGATACAAATATTTTAATTTCAATTTTAATAATAAGTTTTGATATCTGTAAATTTCTGCCACAAACAGTTTGAGAAACAATGTAATTGATTTTGGAGTGTTACAAGATGGCACACTGTTATTACTCTTTAAACTACAAGCACACTTTCATACTCAGTGTTCTGCATGTGATGTTTCTTTTGTTTACAGAGCATGTACCACAACTCAATGTTGGGTAATATTTATTTGGAACGTTTATTTATGATTTATTTAACAATGCTGTACATAGTTAAGCCTATACAGTGCTGAATGTTTGGGTAAGTAATGAATGATGAATTGGAAACGATATTTAAGGAAGCGGTCATGGCCTAATTGAGTTAATATCCCAGCATTTGCTCTGGGAACTGAGGAAAACCACTAAAAACCTCAATCAGGGTAGTCTGCGTTTTGGCTGAGATTTGAACAAAGCACCTCTTGAATAAAAGTCAGAGTGTTACTGCTTGAACGAACTTGCTGATTGAAAGGTTTATGAAATATGTATAGTTGATGCAATATGCAGAAGAAATCACATGCACACATAACCAATGTGAACCTAAGTGACACTTGCCCAACAACTTTCTGCATAGGTCTGCCATATCACATTTCTTCAAAATTCAT